CCCTCCCCCCGAACTGGAAAATACTTCCTGCCGGCGATTCCCAGTCATCTGGGCCGTTCGACCGACAAAGTTTTTGGCTGTCTTCAGGGACCATTTACCAAGAAACATCTTTCTTGGTCTATGTATATGCATCTGGGGTATTCGGCCGGTCGCCGATAAAGTGAGAGAACCCGGGTACCAGGCTCTTGCTGGTAAGCTACCTACTTTACCTTTATTCTCCTTTTCATTAGTATTATTTGTATATTAAAGCGCTTAGCTATGATGGTATAGTAAACTAGATTGCAAGCCCTGAACCACATAACACGGTCTTCAGGTGGAAAGAATCTACTCTGTGCAGAAAGGTAGGCGCAGCAATACCCCCACCGTCTAGGATCCCCGTAGCTTTGTCACACCAGGTACAGCATTCGTCAAGACCGATAATTCCATTTAATTAGGGTGACAGCAACACATCCTTGGACATACCGTTAGATAAAATTTATAGCGCGGGGGAAACGTGCATGTAGGCTAACGAATACATTGACACAGACTTCACTCGACCTCACCTTGTAGAAGGCAAGCCACCCAGTCTTCGACAAAGAGCAAACCTCTGATGACTGTGGTATATGCAAAGAATCGGTGTCAGAGGCTCAAAAAGCCTTTGCGTGAAACATCTGGCTTAAATGGGTACACTGTAACTGTGATAATGGTACGCCAGGTTGGTACTACATTCTTACGAGGAGGCACCCGTGTAAACGGATGTGGAGAATATGTCTAGCGTCGGGAATCATCTGCTATCAACACCGGCAAACTGGAGACCCTGGTACAGTCAGCCATTTTACGAAGCGCGAGTTCTCTCGGAAACTGGTCAAGCACCACAAATGCGCGAAATCGTCACCCTCAGTGTTAGGAATAAACCAACTGCCACTCCGGGTGGGGCACCAGCAAAGTCCTCGCCTGTGTCGCCGCAACCCAGACTATCCGACGGAACCGAACTACCTGAGGAAGTGGGTTGTGTTGAGAACGCATTGACCGAAGGGAATAGAGTAAAGTGCGGACCATTAGAACTGCCTCCCAGGCCCAATATCCCTCACCCACAGGACAGGAGAACGGATTCTATCATTTCCTCAACATTCCCATACCGATAGACTCACTCTTGAAAAAAAGAGAACGGTCTTACAGGGGGAAGTGGGACGACTACTGCAAAAAGTTGGGAACAGAAACCGTCGCGGCCACCTCATGCCGGCCCTCCCGAGGAAGTAGAGCACCTTGAGAGAAGTCGCCACCTCTAAGGATGTCAGGGATGATATAGAAACAGTCGGGAAACATACTACTGCTGTCGCTTCGGCCAGATGTTGTAGGCTGCTGCCCCGTAAGGGTGAAACTAGACACCACAGAGGCGGGAACGTAATCCCCACTTAGTGATTCGCACAAAGCTGCAACCATGGTGGCACATAGGGTACCCGAACTGGTGGGTGGATCCGCAAAGTGTAATAATTATTCCCACAATGTCTAGCGGCGGAGGTGGCTAGCGGTAAGAATGGGACTTGAAAATATGCCTGCCAGCAGCGTGAGAAACTTACCAAAACCTATGCACTTGCATAACATTTCTTCACCAAGAACGCTAACTGTACGCTTTGACTGCTAAGCGTCACTATCAGAAGCTTTCACTGCATGATACTGTGTGAAGGACCTTATAGGAGGAGCTATACGATGCTGCAAAAGTAGGCCGCGAGCTAGCAGACTAGGGGGTAGGAGGCAGCCTCTAAAAATACTGCATACAGTGCTGGTCGGAAAAGAACTATCTAGTACGCCACCTGCAGACATGGTAAATGATGCAACCACACCAACGCCAGGATGCCGATAGTGACCAAGAAACGGAGGCCTGCCAGTCCAGTAGGGGCTGGCAGTCAGAATCCGATGCAACGGCACGCCAGCCTCCAAACAAGTCCCCATATCACACTACGCCAAGGGCATAGCTCCTTGACATGCTTCTACAGCAATGTAAGAGGTCTCAGGAGAAAACTACTGGAGGTGAAAACAATGTGCCATAATCTGCAAGCAGATATAATTCTCACCACGGAGACGTGGCTGTCAGAAGATATCGTGGATGAGGAAATATCTTTATCTAACATGATCTTGTTCCAATAAAACAGGCGGTTCAGAGAAGATGGAGGAGTTGCACTGTACGTTAGCACTCATCTAAAAGTCAAGGAAGAGATTGATGGTGTGTTACGTTTACTACCGGACTACTTATGGTGCCATTTCACCACAAACCAAGCTGAGTACCTATTAGGAGTGGCATGTAGGCCTCTTCTCTGAACGAAAGAGCATAGGGCACAACTGCTCAGTGCCACCTCACCAACCACCTCTGCAGCCTGTGACCATATAGTCCCAGCTGGAGACTCTAAAAAGGCCTCACTCAAGCCGGGATGTGGGGTAAGATATGGGCAGTAGTTGAGCCATAAGTTTCGCTGTAATCGGAAAGCAGACAACCACCCCATGAACAACGAATCCCTGGAGGCTGCATGGCCAGAGGAGTGGCACTCACTATCGATAGAACACTGGGTACAGATGAAAGAACTTATCTGGAGCGCTGTCGAAAGAATGTCCAGAAATTAACCAGACGGCCGGCTCTCAAATGGTCTTGGGTAAATCGCTCAACCCAAGGGCGAGTGCGGAGGAGAAAGAAAGCATGGTATCAGCGGCGTACATCACACAAAGAATCAGACTTATGTAATGTAAGAAAGCGTAATGGCAGCTATAAATGCCAGGACAACCTGGCTAAACAGTTAAGTTGCAATCCGAAGAGTCTTTATCGGTTTATGTCACAACGTGAACCTACGAATAAGAGTTTAAACCTGATCCCAGGACCGGCCAGAGAGCCTGTAAACAGCAGCGAGATAGCGGAAGTTTTGAGCAGCCTATTTAACGGCAACTCGACCCGGTAATATATCCGCTATCGACACCTAGGAATGCACCGATGCCCCAGTACCGCGATACGAAGCAGGACTTTCAACACCGAGAATGGGGAAGTCGCCTAGCCGTCAAAATATAGAATTGGTGGTCCCACGCAACTGTGCCAAAGTGCTAAGCATACCCATATGCAGCATGTTCACGCACTCATTGGAAGTAAGTCAATTACCCAAGGAATGAAAACGCACTATCCTTTCGTCAGCCCTCAATGGAGGAGGCCGAAAAGGCCTGGGAGACTACGGATCAACGGCATCATTCCCCGTACTTTCCAAAGCACTGGAAAGCATGCTTGTAGCTGTTGTTTGGGCCTGCCTGAACAGAAACAACATCGTTCATCCCACCCAACGTGGCTTCAGAATCGGCGGTCATGTGCCGCGGATGTGACAACTGCTTAGGATGACTGGACCACTAGGTGAGGCAATAAACAACCGGTCCACGTCTTCTTGGGCTTGGTCAAGGCTTTCGATAGCGCCCCGCATTGTAACGTGCTGGCTAAACCTGCAGATGCTGGCATCACCAAACCACTCTTGGCATGGTTTACAGCATACCCAGAGGATAGATAATTATGCATTAAAGTAAACAGGATTCCTCCAACCTCGAGAAACGCAGGAACAGGAATTTCTCCACCAGCGATCCTTGGGTCACTCCTATTTTTACTACTCATAAATGACCTTACCATTAAAATCTCCTCGTCCATCCTCATATTTGTCGGTGACATCAAAATATGAAGGATGGTTGGTGACATAGTGGATCGTAGGGTACTCAAAAACGATCTATTTCAGCTGGAGTCTTGGTAAGCTGCAAACGGTTCAGGCTTTAACTTGGAGAAATGCAAGATGATGCATCTTCACATGCCAGACGCGATGAAAATCAGCTACACCCATGACAAGTGTGCGATCGCCAAGGTATTTACGGGGGAGGACCTAGGACTAAACCTTTCTGGATACTACTGATAGTTATATGGGAATGGCAACAAAGATGAACACAATTGTGCACTTTCCAAGAGGGCAGCTTGGAGCGTCAACCCCAGAATTATTCCTTATGGCATTCACAACCCATGTTAGGTCGGAGTAACAGGCAAAACACATGCCCAACACCTCAGACCACTCGACTTGTTCAAACAAAGCTATCGAAGGAAACGAGGTGACCCGATAACGGCCTACGAGATCATTCACCAAGTGAACCGCCCAAATAGGACAACGGTATTGGTCTAAAACCAACAGTCCTGTGGGAACCCCACTCGCATACCCCACCGTAGAGCAAAGATGACAGCGAGATCTAACTTCCCCCACACAGAATGTGTCTTATGAAAAGCTCTGCCGAAGGAAGTACCTACAGCCACATCAGTCGACCCCTTCAGACAACTACTGGATGGGCATGTTAGCGCAAATGGCTTACCACGAAACATCTGTCAGTAGCAACTAATGATACACCCTTCCATCCCTGCAATCCCCCAGCCCCAGTATCTGCAGTAAGACGCACCTCTCCTCCATATAACTGCCAGTAACACTTATCTTTCCATAAGTTCTTTTCACTTCTCGTTTTCTCATCCCCCACTCACCCCATTTCCATCACTTTTTAAGTAACGCTTAATAAGTACATCTAGGTGCTTGCAAAAACAGGAATTGCGAACGGTCGATCGATCTTACCAGCAGCTCCGTGGCTCCTCCAAAACAAACCAAGCTACACTTCGCAAACAAAACAAAATACTTTCAAAGAGACAATCACTATAAGCAGGAAAACGCAAATACTTCTGGGACCATCGAACAAGTACAACCGAATAAAAAGAATCGAGCCTCACGACCTAAAAGTGAGAGCTCAAAAACTAAAACTTCCCTCTACTCGCACTCATGATGTAGGATGTTTGCAAAAGTACCTTTTAAAGAGACAATCACTACTTCAAAAGCTATAGGCAGGTAAACTGAAAAGACTTTTGCGGCCATTGATGAAGAATGACTCATCTAAAAGAACCTATCCTCTAGACAAAGGTGCAAGAATTCAAAAACTATAAGATTCCCCCACTCAAATTAGTGGCATTGGATGTTGGAGCGATAAACATGTATTTGAACGAAGTACCTACTTATGTGTTCAAAATTATCGTAAACAGCTTGGAATACAGACCAAGGTCGTACTCTGACGTTCACAGTTTCACCTAGGTCCACTGATGGTCGTTTTCACTGCATTCCGGAGAAGGTAAAGTCAGTAGACCAATTGTCAAGTTCTTTGTTAACCTACTTCAATAGTATCAGTTATTTTTACGTGTACAGTCGGGAAGTTGTCAGTTTAAAATACCCAAGGTCATATTTGTCAAGCATGACACACTTGGAGTCGGTGAAACCGGTTGTCACATCCGTTTTATCTTCTCCAGAATTCGATTCGGTTGTAGTTGTGTTGGAAGATTTGTTGGGCGCATCCTCCTTCCCATCTTTGTTTCCAACATTACAAGAGGCAGCACAGGTTTGTTTTCGAATTACAGGTATTGCATTTTGCTAGATAAACAAAAAGTTTTGTACGGATGTCCATACACTGACTTGTAGTGCGTTACCATCAAAGCGTTTGGTGAGTCCGTCTTCACTTCATTAATTGCAGGTTGTTTCCTTCACTGGCCCACTGGATCGGGATATCGACGATGCTCGCAGAATAACTGAGGCATCTTCGAAAGGTATATCTCAGTAAGTGCAGGTAGATTTTTCATCATGGAGGTTGACAATTTCTTCCACTGATTAAAATACCTACCACGTCACAATAAGTACAGTTATAGTTCTATTATTACTATTATTATGATTATGATGTTGTTTGTCTCGGGTTCCTAGTGGAACATAGGGCCCCAGTAGCACGTCACCATTTCACTCTGTTCTCTGCAGTCTTCAAAACCTGGCTCCACGATTGCCCAGAAGCTTTCATTTCTTCCTCACACCATCTCCTACATGTCACCCTCGGGCGCCCAACTCGTTGTTTCCCATTTGGCTTCCACTGGAGTGCCTGGCCTGGCGCGTGATGTCTCCGAACGGTCTTTTCAGTGTATGTTCAATCTAATCCATCTCCACTTTCTTCTGCATATTTGTTGTGCGATTGGTTCCTGGTTGGTTTGTCGCAAGGTCAGAGTTCCTTGTTGCTTATTCTTATTATTCTTGCCATCCGTCTGATCTTGAGTATCGAGTGAGCGTAGGCGGTAGCTGTTGATGAATGTGTGTGGTTTTTTTGAAAATGCTTTTCGTGACGCTCCAAGTCTGTAACCCATATGAAAGCACAGACTTGATATTAGTGTTGAAAATCCGAATATTGTTCTTTGTGCTGTGCTACTTGTAGGTGAAACGACGCTGCCTAGATGGTAGGTGAAAGAGACAACTTCGTTCAGATTCCTCCCTTTAATTTTGATTGGTGCTTGTTGTTGGTTGGGTATCTTCATCACTTCTTTCTTCTCTACGTTCACTTGAAGTGCCGTCTTCACTGTCTCTTCTGTCAACTTGTTAGTTATTGCTTTTAGTTCGAGTTTGTTTTGACTGTTGTCAAATCAAAGCTGACCGTTCTTTGAAAGTGAAACGCAGATTTATCGAGAGGAAGACCAAAAAGATGCACCACTTAAGTCATGTTTTCCCAAAGGATGCAAAATTCACTATAATCCAACTTTCCCTGGGTGTTTCATCCGTAGGATTTTGCGTGTGCATGTGATTTTAGCGAATCACTTATAAACTGCAGTGCATAGTATTGGCATAATTGCTGTCCATATCAAAAGCATCTACATTTGACCTCAACGTTTAAAGTGGAACTCGTTGCAGTTAAGTACATCCACAGAGAATAGATAACTTGTCATTTTAGATCAGTTTATTTGCACAGGAAAGTAACAGTAGTGTTTATGGACATTTTATGCATAATTTATTACTTATTGTCCTACCAAGGTAATGAGGCAATTTAGTAACTTAGTTTTAGACAAATCTACCGTTTTAATTTGTTTTCCTAATTAGGTTTGAAATCTTCCAAATATATAGAGTCACTGTTGAGTCATTCCATTCGCATGTGTTAGGTATCTAACCAATAAACGGGCATGAGGTGACAAACTTCATTCAAGTTCAGCAGAAGGATTTGTGTACCCTTTGAAAACATTCTAGGTATTCAGCTGTCTCGTGTCCACACTTTTCAAGTTTAACAATAGAATATGTAAGCAAGTCAAAGGTATGGTAATAGAATCACGTTTAATCGCAGCGGTGACGGATATTTTTTGGACAGTTAGGACCTTAATACTACCGCGAACGGCTGGTTGAGATATGTGTATGACAATATCCATTGTTTCTGCACTCATAAAGTCGATGACTATATGGACAGGGAAAATCAACTATATTGCAAAACAAAACAAAGACAAGATGGTTGTTTAAAGTATCCACAGGAAACCATCGTGTTCTAGCAGTTGTATTGACGTGAGTTTATGTCTTCCCACATCAGTAAAGGTAGGTTCAATTAAGTGTTCAAGCAATTGAGCCACAAGTTTAACTAGTGAGTTGTAAAATCTAAAATAGGGAAATGAAACGCGTTGGGTGAAACTATCCTAAATTTATTCAGAAATTAATCACGAAAACGGGAAGTAATGATATAAGAAATGGTTGCAACACGATTGAGGAATTTAAGGCCTCCATAGTGTTGCAATATAAGAAAGAGGTATAGAAAACTACTTAGGATTTTGGTCAAGGCTGGGATTAGAATGAAATTTAAACCTACAAATACACTCAGACAGACTTTGTCGGTTTTAAGAATTTTATTGACCCAAGTAAAAATTCGATTCAACTAACACCGCGCAACAACTATGGGGTAAAGTACATGGGCGAACCGGCCCTTCGTCATCAGTTAGATTCTCAGGGTATGAAGACTTAATTAAGTCTGGGACAATAAACTCTGAAAGAATGGGTGTTCTGGAGACGAATTCAGACATTATGCGTTCAGTAATAAAACACAATAGGGTTGGACCGAGTAACAGTTCGCAAGATTACTGAGCGCTGGGTCGAAATCCGTTCAGCAACCTTATACACATTCGTGCAGTAGGCAATGAACCACACTTATTATTTGATGGTTAGTGATGCTGCTTGGCTCCCCAAACCTTGGTAAGTGGAGGTGGGTTGGAACCCGAAACGCACTGGTTGAAAGTAAACCGACTATACCAATGAGCCACAGGTCTTCGAGGGACCAGTTCGTTTAGCTGAATTAAGAGGTCTGTTGCTGAATACTTGTTCATCGATTAAACACGTAACACTTTTAGTAAGAGTGATTCAGCACATTCCAGATATATGGAAAATCGTACTACCAATCAGATCAAAGAATGCACTACAGATGCACTCTAGTAATACATTCTGCATCTGTTCTTCGTTTCGCAGAAATTGTAAAGTGGAAGTTTCTTGTATATTTATATCTTTAGCTCTGAAATCGAAATGATTTTATCTACTATTCCTGTTCGCTTCTCATCAGTTCCGGATAAAATAGTTCAAATAGATTTGTGGTTGGAATGGTAAAGTATACACTTTTTTCCAGGTCCAATAGTTGCAAATTAGATATTCAGTTGCTTCAACCGGTCGCACACTCAGTTTAAGCTGGAAAGCAACCAGCAAATATCTCCTAAGAAAGCTTGGTAATTGAACGGCCATCTATCAGTATATGCAAACTACCTGCTAATGTGAAACTGACGGTGATAACGTTTAATTTTTCCTATTTACCAACTTAGTGACCTTTTTGTTTTGTTTTCTAAGGTCACGCTAGATTTTTTAATCTTGTTTTGGCATGTTACTCCAAAGATTTGATTCCAGAACTGTTTTCTCTTTAGTGCTATCAAAATTGGTTCTACGAAACCACTTCTTTTGTTGGGTTCGTTGAAATCTGCTCAGAAGTCAGCACATGCTTGGTTTCAACCATCTGTCGCTTGTCTGGCATCGTTGCTTGGTGCTTACCATGCTCTTTATGTGGTGAGTGTACTGTAAAACTTACAGAACTGATTTATGCAGCATCTGTTAGTATGATCGTCTCAGTATTGTTATTCTTCAAATTTTGATATTGTTGCGGAGTGGTTAGCCCTCAGATCGTTTAGACAAATGTTCAGTTTTGGTCTTAATGGAAATACAGTAATGATAGATAGTGGGTAGCAGTGAAATCCAGCTGACGAGTCCCAAATAGGACGAAATGCACATCCTGGGTTCCACTGCTAGCCACTATACATCATTACTATAATTAGAACATAGGTAATATCGGGCATCCGCACAAGAGCCCATATGCCAATAGAGACCTACCAATTCGGTCCAATCAACGACGGTATAACATAGGCAATAATATTGATGAAAATATGTTAGGAAATACAGTAATTCTTGAGGAAATCTGTTGCATGTTAATTGGTGTTATTTGGTGCCTAGAGATCCGCCTTTAATTAGTCTTACTTAAACTATATTCTTGTTTTGAAAAATCGATTTATTGGCTGTCGGACTACTTAGGTCACCACTTTCGTCATTGCTCCAGATGTTACTTTTATCTTTTTATTGACCGTCGTGACCACTGGTAATTTCTTTTATTCTCATTTATCTTGTGACAACTAATCATAATACGTGCCTCAATGGTTTATGGACTCGTTTTCAAGCTGTGGGTTCCGATTTCTATTCTCATTCTACCTGCTTCAGTCTAGACAATAAGTTTAGCTAAGAGCGTATTACATAAACCTATAGATTTAAATGTTTTAGTCGTTACTAATAACAGATACCTAGGAAGGGGGTACAGGTCGAGATAGTGATCACGTTACGTTATTTTTCTTACTAAAACAAAAGTATTTTATTCATTTTCCTACCCTGCAATTCACCATTAAATTCCCTCAGTCACTCTTTAATTCATAGGGAAATAGAATTGCGGTCAGTACTGAATTGGTTCGAGTAAAAACCCACTACTATGCTTCAATTTCGGTACTCGGTGTGTCAGCTACATATCTAAATCTAAACTTTGTCTTTGGAACAGGACTAAATATCTTAAGAGCTATCCGTTCCCAACTAACAACAAATATGTCTGCCATGATAAAAGACACTAGTGATCACATAGCAACCCCTCCAGTTTGTTAAAATTTATTTAGTTTCGAAACTTTGAACATAAGACATACCCGTACTCCTAACATGATTTCCTCAATCACTATCGTAGTTCGATGCGTAAGCTCATGGTCATCATTGAGTCCATTTCTAACTGATTCCAAAGCCACGTAGCTCGGTATTTTGGTTCTTAGGTTTCTTTTTATTAGCATAAGGATAAAAGTACAAAACACTGAGCCCCGAGTTTGAACAGCACTCCTCCTACTTCGATTAACGGGTAGCAGCATGCACTTTAAAACATTAAGTGCGGTTCATAACCTACCAAATAAAATCACTTCTGATTTATGAGTTATGCAGAATCATTGTATAAATAATTGGTGGGAGAAGCAACATTACATACAAATTATTGCCCACAGTTTATTCTCAAAAAATTCATATAAGAAGTAACACTGATAAAATAACTACAGAACTATCTTTAATTTTCAGCCAGATATAACGTCTCTAGTCACTGAGTCGTGTGATCCACTGGAACACATCTAAAAAGTCACGACACACCCAAAGATACTGCCGCAACATTGATGTCAATCATTCCATGATAATACATGACAAATTGTGGAGTTTTAGCTCATTGGTTTGGACAGTTGACTTTAAATAAGCGGATCTCTGGTTCAATCTAAGCTCCACCTACCGAGATTCGGTCAACCAGTCGGTATCACTAATCGTCACACAGTAGGTGGAGTTCACTGCCCACCACAGGAATATACACAAGGTTGTAGAGAGTCTTTCGCCTCGTAAATAATAAATTACTCAGTCTTCTGCATTTCCTGATTAATTCTAGGGTTTAATTAACAATGTTCAGCAGGCAATCCAACCAAATGCTCTGACAAGACCTACGACAAAATGAATCCACTCATCCTCTACAATTACCTTCACACAGCTGTATGCTCATAGTTGATGCAGCGGAAAACCTGTCGATTGCTTCTAGGTGTCTGGGCTACTTCCACATGAGTGACAGTATGTAGATGAATGTCCGGCGCTCATCATCCTGTTGGTGAATATGGAAGATTCAAGTAGGCCATTGGAAAACTCATTCCAAAAAATGGTGCATACAGGTTTCAGAATTCGAAACAACGTTCAGTCACTAGATTCTCATTCAACTTTGTCAAATATAACTTAATGGTTGCTTGACATTATAAGGACTTATCTGTAGGTTGGAGACTGCTTAGTCGACATGTAGTATGCAGATAAAATAGTCCTATAGTGTGAAGGTGTTGATAAGTCGTGGTCTTATGGACAACTTGAACAGGAATTTGAGAATGTCACCACTCCCAAATACCATTAGTTGCTTCGAGATCATTCTGTGTGAATATCTTACCTGACATTGTGTAGTGAAGTTGTAGAACATGATGAACAATTTACTAAACTAGAGAGTTTAATCAACCCTGAATTTTCGGTAGTCGACCGAATAGGAAAGGTTCAAATAGCTTTCGTTAACTTAAGGTGTCAGGATAATATCTGACTGCATAGTAAGTATCAGGCATAATGTGCAGTAGTTTGCTCTTACTATTCAAGCGGTAGGTTCAGGTTTCAAAGCTCGCATTCTCATCTGTTTAACTGTGTGTATCATAAACCCTTAGAAAAAGATCGGGCTAATAGCTTAGTCAGTAAAAAGCATTAACCAGACTGAGTTGCATTAATATTTGGTCAAAGGTAAAGAACATGAGAAGGCTTTAGCTGGTCGATTGCCGTTTTCTCCGTAGTACTAGTCGTGTTTCATGGAACCACCACGTCAGTAGAAGTTTAGTGTGAAATTTCGGTAGTAAATTCAGGTAGTAGACTCAAGTATCTGAAACATATACACATGTTTAGGTCACCGTCTTTCCTGATGTTCAATATCAGCCGAAGTAGGCGTGGGCTGGATGGTAGCTAAAAACAAACAGACTGGAAAGAGGCATCAGCCCATAAAGTCTCTGACTGTGGATTTGAGCTATGTAGAGAAATGTCGACTTCCTAATAGGTGTCCGTGTGACAACTGGAGTAGTTGTTCGGTGACTAGAAGTGATATGGTCCAGAACTGACGTCACTGCCGTACACACATCCACAGTATCTTCATCCCAACCATTGTTTTACGTTTTGTTGCTTGATTTGTTTCTTTTTATGACACCGTGACTCAAGTTTACATTTCGTCCTTCGTTTCTGTATCTTGTTTTCTGGTTTATTGATAAAGGTATGCAGTATGGCAGCTTAAAACTGTTACATAGTGGTACCAGGTCCTACTTAAGCATCCACATACTGACTGATTCACTACATACTTTTGTTCTAACTACAGGTACAAATGTACAGCTTATGAAAATGATTCGTCGAAAATAAAATTTTCCTCGCCGATTTTTCCTCTGTTAGACCTTTCTTTGATTTCCTTTATCCACACAAAACTTTCTTCACTTCATTTATATTTAGCCTTTTTAACTACTTCTTTTACCACTTGTGTGACTTTCAGTTACCATACGTATATACCAGGCTCTAAGCGTACGGACTCTCCCTGCACCCTCATACATCTGTTGCTTCATTGGCATACTCAGCTTGAAGCGAGTGAAATAACCGATGTTTAAATCATTCCAATTTAGTTGCTGTAGACAGCAGATCTGATTGAGGGATTTCTACATATTCAGTTTTATTCCTAATCTAGTTTTCTCCATGGGTTGGTCAGTCCCTTTACTTTGAAATGTTAAGCGCTAACAGACAGATTCAGATTGAAGAAAGCGAAGGTATAAGATGACTTTTGAGTGATCTAATGAAGGTATGCCAGCACACTTAATTTGGTTATCGGTGACTTTTTTTGAATATATAAAAGTGTAGGTGGCCGTAATAGACTTTCCCATCAATGAGTAGTTGTAGATTAAAATTATCTCCAGTATCAGGATTGTATTCTAGACATAATCTGTTTGCGGGCTAATGACTGGCCATGTTGTTTCTAAACTAAGCACTTTCGCATCTCATCGCATGTATATACTATCAACAGATACAGAGATTTCTGTTTCCGTATTATATATGAAACGGGCGTTAGGTTGAGGGTTTAAAGGTGTAGTGCTAAAAACCTATGGTGACTCATCCATTTATTTTGAAGTTTTATCTTACACAAAGCTGATGACGTTAGGATTTATCAGGTTTCCTCATTTACTTTCGATTTACAGCCACGAAAATAAAGATTTTTAGCTCGATTTAAGTTATAGGCTTATTCTGTATCAGTTATTGTTTCAAGTTACTAGTGTCATTTTTTATTCCTTTCTCCTATTGAGTTCCTCAGTGCTCTAACGAGGTGACTTATTGGGATACATATTTATCCCAGGTCTCATGTTATTAATGTCTGTTTACGTCAGTTTCAATCTTAGGTTGTCTTGGCATATAGAAAAGAGTCAAGTCCTCCTATAGGTTACAGAAGTTTCCGACACTATAGGGTTAACGATCTTTTATTTATCTACTCAGAACATTCCATAATGGTTCGTTCAATGTGCATCTTTCACACTAGTTTCGATTTTGTGTAACTACAGCCATTTATTTGTTACTGATGGGGAATTAAGGCTCAAAAAGCTAACATTAACAGTAAAATGAGCAGATAATTTTGGCAAATATTGAAGTACTTCTGTTTGTGATTGTAACAGACACAGTATACAGTTGTGAATACAGTAGTACCTTAGGGATACAAGTGGATAAACTTCAGAGTAATTAAATGAGAATAAAAATCCAACAAGTCAGTAGAACTGGATAACTGATGAGCCATACATTAACGCCAGTCGCATCCGTCAGATACTTTGATTGTAGATCTTGTTTTTTAACGACAGACACAAACCACACGATTTTTCCCATGTTCTTTTGTCTCCTTTTCATCCATTTTCCTGTGGCATTGCTTCCACCATCTTCCTCTTTAATCGTGCCTTGGGCTGTGTCAGGTGTGACACGAGTGTACACTCTCGCAACATGTTTTATGTTTTAGTTTACTTAGTGACCTAAGGAATAACGCTTTGGTGCTTGAAGTCATGAGTGCCGGGTGGGAACGCCACCACTTACTGGGGTTCAAGTAAATCCAGCTGATGGGTCCCAAATAAGACTTAGTCCGCGTCCTAGATGGCACTGCTTGCCTTCAACATTAAGCTATAACATAATAAACATTCGGATAATACCCAGGTATCCGTATGGAAGCCCGTTTGCCACTCAAGTTCGATCGATTCGATCCAGTATCGCAACGGAAAATTGCAACTATCAATAATTAACAATGTTTCATGTTTTCTCGACTGTTGGAGTTTCTATATGTTAGTGCTTTTTTAATATAAGCGTTAAATTTGTGTAATGTCTTGTGAAAGTCATCTTTTTGTACCATAAACATTTCATGTCTGACAATAGAGTTTCTCATTCATATCTTAAATTTTCTCTCACTAACGCAAGCCCCTTGAAGTTCGTGAGATCACGCCTCAAGAAGGCCATACATCTGCGAAACCTGTCCAACCACGAAAAGCCGAAGTTCTTGGTTGGTATGCTGGCGTACACTATACATTGGACCATATGAAACTTGTAAGTGCTTCGTTATTGTTATTCCGATCGCAAATAAACTGTTTTGTTTTGGTCGAATAATTAGACCATGTTAACCTAAAACTTTCATTAATAATCAATGAATTGTAGTTAAAAATTATTGTCCTTATTATCACTTATTAGATTTTGTTTGTATTGTGATTTGTTTTTGCTGTGTCGCAGTGTTTCCTTTGTAGTTCAACGTTGGCTCATTTGTGTATACACTCATTACAACCACTGGATTGTTTGCCTCACTTTGTCTGTATCAGTTATAACAACTAAGTACTAGTTGTGACTCTTCAAGTTAGGAATGTCGCTCAAAGCCATTGCAGAAACATTCTTGATTTTGGAACTGTATTATCTCGTATTAATAATAGTAATAATGATAATAATATATGTCCCTTGGGTTCCTAGTGGAACATAGGGCCCCAGTAGCACGTCACCATTTCACTCTGTTCTCTGCAGTCTTCAAAACCTGGCTCCACGATTGCCCAGAAGCTTTCATTTCTTCCTCACACCATCTCCTACATGTCACCCTCGGGCGCCCAACTCGTTGTTTCCCATTTGGCTTCCACTGGAGTGCCTGGCCTGGCGCGTGATGTCTCCGAACGGTCTTTTCAGTGTATGTTCAATCTAATCCATCTCCACTTTCTTCTGCATATTTGTTGTGCGATTGGTTCCTGGTTGGTTTGTCGCAAGGTCAGAGTTCCTTGTTGCTTATTCTTATTATTCTTGCCATCCGTCTGATCTTGAGTATCGAGTGAGCGTAGGCGGTAGCTGTTGATGAATGTGTGTGGTTTTTTTGAAAATGCTTTTCGTGACGCTCCAAGTCTGTAACCCATATGAAAGCACAGACTTGATATTAGTGTTGAAAATCCGAATATTGTTCTTTCTGCAGAGTGCAGTAGATCTGCACACTGATTTCAGACTAATAAAGGCCTGTCTTTCTTTCCCGATCCTGGCTTTGACAGCCTCATCTGTACTGCCACTTGTAATCGAAACGACGCTGCCTAGATGGTAGGTGAAAGAGATGACTTCGTTTAGATTCCTCCAATTAATGGTGATTGGTGCTTGCTGTTGTTGTTGGTTGGGTATCTTCACCACCTCTGTCTTCTCTGCGCTCACCTGGGTTCCCGTCTTCGCAGTCCTGCCTCTCCTCCCAACTTGTTATTTTTCGACTGTAAATATTCGAGTTTTCAACATTCAACAAATCATCATTGGTGAAATCCAAATCTTCTAGGGTCTTTTCATCGGTGAAACAGTGAATGCCCCTCTTCTCATAGCTCCTCACAGTTTGTTGCATGATCCATTCCAGTCGACCACAATCAAGAAGATCATCGGTGATAGTAGGCGGCAACGTTGTCTTACTCCTGTCTTCACTCCACTTCAAAGGCATCACTGAGCTGAGCTTTCCATTGTGAATCACTTGGCAAGTAGCATGTAACATATAGCATATAGCTGCTGTTGAATGAGGTTGACAAGGCTTTATGGCACTAAAACCGTAGTGTTAAAGCAGCTGCCTGCCAAATTACTTTTCAGTCTACGCTGTTGAAGGCCTTCTCAAACTCGATGAAGTTGAGGTAGAGTTGGCTACCATTCTATACTCTGTTCTATGATGATGCGTAGCTTAGCTTTGCAATTTGATACCTACATGATTTGTTCTTCCTGCAGCTAAGCAGCCTGTTCCAATCGTAATTTCGAATCGAGAGCATATTTTAGTCCCTGCAGTATGATGTGGCTTAATATTTTGCGTGGGATGGGCAGGAGCATGATTCCGTGCCAATTCTTGCAGAGATTTAAGTTGCCTTTCTTTGGGAGTTTGACAAGGTAGCCCTTCTTCCAATGCGCAGGTACCTTTACTCCCTTCCTTTCAACGCTTCTGCAGCAGTGGTATGAGCATGTTTGCTGATGTCTGCGTGTCTGTCTTCAGTGCTTCTGGAGGAAATCCATCTGGTCCTGCTGTTTTATCATTTTGTCTACTTAGTTTTAATACTGAACGCAATCACCGCCTGGATGTCCTCTCGCAATTTGCACTTGATTTATCATAGCTAGTCAGGTCTTGTCAGTCTCGGAATGATTTCGGTGTACCTGCATTATCTTGTACACTCTACGAGCTGGTAAAGGTAGGTAATAATTATTTTCCTTTCATTGACAGATAGATAAGATCAGCATACGATCAGGCATTACTGCGTAGCGGTCCAAGTTGCCACACCGCGTATCTTTTTATAGGCTTGTTATATGTATCAATGAAATATTTCTATCTGCTTGATGAGTGATTAATACCGATAGAATCAACGTAGAACCTCGCACACAGGTGCATTGGCTGAAGTTGCCACACTTTACAGTTGTATACAAAGAAGAAATGGATAGAAAAAGAGTGATATCAGAATAGACAGTTGTGTGGCAGGACAGTCATTCTAAAAGATAGCTACTAGTTCAAATATTCAAGCTTTAGAAGATGTCAACGAGTGAATACATCTGCGTCATTATGACCGATTTCCAGCCATCTAGCCGAGAGTCCTCAAGGTCTAGTTTTTATGATAAGACGTAATAATGTGTTGACTACTAAGATAGTGTATGCAGCATCTAACGTTTTGATAGGACATGGTGTTCTATAAAAGTAATAGTACAAATAGAAAGCATCAGAAAGTTAGATCTAGTGTACCCTGAAAGTGCCACCTGGAAGCTTCATTTTCTCGCATAATCTACGAAGTTGTTTCAGACTACTGTCAATCGTATACTTTTTATGTGATAAGTTGGATGATGACTATTGTAGGGAATTCAAAAAGGATGTTGAAATATTCAAAGAATGAAATTCTGATTGATATGAATATTGGATACGGTAAACCTCTGATAAAAGCTAAAGTCAGCTGACAACCAATGATTGTGTGTGTTCTGTAATCTGGAGGTTGTTCAATTGTGGGGCTTTCACCGTCTCTCTGGATGTTATCAGCAGTATGAGGTGAGCTGCCAGCATCTCTCTGTGAGTGATTCAGTAGCTTGCTTTGACGAGTTGGTTTGTGATTGATTGTTTCTTTTGACTGTTGTGTCATTGCATAGATTTTCTTGTTGACTGTTCCTCTGCCTGACCTTTGACCTTTCCGTTTTTCTTATTGGCTGACAGACTGGGTCTATCTACATGTCTGACTGACTTGAATATCAAGCTTCTAGGAATTCTCTGATATTCTTTTTATTTCCTCTGTTCAAGATTTCTACATTTTCAAAATTGAATTCATGCTCATAATTATCCACATGCATTGAAATGAGCGATGAAATTTGACGTTTAAATAGCCAATTAGTGTTCATGTAAACAAAGGCGAAGAGGGCAACCACTTTGTCCAGTGTAGTGTTGTTCACAGTTATTGCAGTTAATTTTGTAAATGATATTTGGTTTGTCTTCTTTGGTTTTTGCGTCCTTCAGTCTGCATAATATAGTTTGAAGGGAATTTATTAGTTTATGAGCCACACCAATTCTAAATGGTCTCAGTAACCTTGTCGTGATCTCTGATATGTTCTTTATGTATGGTAGGATGGTGCGTTTGTTGTTTTCTGTCGATGATTTTATAGTTGATGATGTACGGGATAGGCATCTTGTGATAAAGTTTCGTGGGTAGCCGTTCTTCTTAAGGATAGACATCTGGTAATTTTCTTCGTTTCTCCGTGAAGTTGTGCTGCAGTGTGTTCTCGCTCTTTTGAATAGAGTCTGCACGCAACTGATTTTGTGTGTCGTTGGGTTGTTGCGATTGTAGTTGAGGATTTGGTCACTGTGTGTTGGCTTCCTGTATACCTGGGTTTCCGGCATTTGTCCTACTGACCAAAACATCCAGGAATGACAGTTGGTTGTTCGACTTCTCCAATGTGAATTTGACGTCTTTGAAAACGTTGTAGGTCAAACTGTAATTGTTTTCTAAATCATCCTCTTTGATGATGATAAAAGTATCGTCTACATAGTGAATCCAGATTTTTGGATTAATCAAAGGTAATATGGTGACTTCTAGTCTCTGCATCAGTGCTTTTGTAATTAGTCCGCATATTGGTGATCCCATTGAGGTTCCTTTCATCTGTTCGTATATCTTGCCATTAAGTCAGAGGTTTGTTGTCAGACAAAGGTCAATGAATTCCAATAGACTTGAACATTTAAGTTTTGTGTGTTCTGAAAGGCTTGTGTCTTCAGTGAACAGGAAGGACATAGTTTCCTTGGCCAATTATGATTCGACTAATGTGTGTAGTGCTGTGACCTCATTAGTTCGTCGTTTTCTAAATTCCTGCTTCTTATCTTTTCTAAGAATTCTGTTGGTGATTTGATGAAGTGTCTGCATGTTTCAGTTTTCTCGTTATGTCGTATGTTAGAGTTTGCAGGAGTGAGACCATTGGTCGTAGAGGGATGTCTGGTTTGTGTAGTTTTGGTCTGCTGTGTAAAACCGAGGAAGGACAAGTATATTATGGGGTTTTCAAAATTTCGCCTAGAATAACAAGTACTCTCTCTTTTTTCACTGTTTTCATTCATCGTCTACTTCTAAGAAAATCGGCAGGCAGTTAAGATGAGGGGAAAAAGGATTATTCATTCTTAGTTAAGAAGTCCTAGTATCACTTCAGCTGATCATATGCAGCGAAGTAAAATAATGTATAAACGGTTTGACATACACCTGACATAATGGTCAAGAACTGAAATAATTTACGCATAAACTGAGTAGTCGGTGATGCGCAGCCACTTTCACTGTGCTGACGTAAGATGTATGGTGTTAGTTTTAATGATGTTCATTCTATATACTTTAAACATCGTCAATTTGTAAATTACTTACAGACTGCATGTTCCACGTCGAAATTTCTCTCTGAGTGATCTTTCAACTGCCTTATTGTAACGTCAACATAGTTTCATCGACACTAACTTCAATATATAGTTAGTGTTGATGATAAAAACTTCAGGGTCAAACCACGCAACTCAGTGAACACAAAACAACCAAGACGATTAATACTAATGTCTTATGTTGCCAACAATAAACTGAAGGTTATCAGATATTTAATAGCTTAATTCTTAACCGCCAAATCGATATCTAACCAAGGTTTTATCGTCACCTGACAGTGTTTTCAGCTTTCATCTTTCTTTAGTCGGTATAATACATAGTAGATCAAAGTGCTTTTTATGATGGGTTGTGTTTATATGATACATTGGCACTATGAAAATAAGTTATGCACCTAGCGATTGATTCACTAAATATGAAGAGGACTATATCAGTTGCGTCTTGTTACTATTTATCGTTGTCTGTCAGCATAGGATTTTCTGCAGTAGACTCAATAAGTAACATTTCTTGTATACACTTCTCTGTTTAAACTCTATACTAATTCATTTACGTATGAACTAGGCACTTTTTGATTGTGTTATATCTTATATGTAGGTTGAATTGGCTTGGTGTTTGGAAGAAGGCTTACGAGTAGCACGTGATATAGGAGGATCTGATCCAGAACGTATGAGTTCGAAAAATATTGTAAAGTATCTTGAGAAAGAGTTAACAACACCTGTTCAAATGACTGTTTGTCCGGTAGATGAAAAGCTTTATCCTATGGCAGCTATAGTGGATCGTGGAAGTAAGTGGTTTCTTTCTCCATATAATTTTATTACTTCGTACTATGTTATTCAGAATTTCATCATGATAAAAAAGATTTTAACTAATGAGACAAAAATGTTATTTTGACTATCTGAGTAAGACAACTGTGGTTCGGTGAACTTAGTACTCACACTGGGTGGTGATTGAAGGTGAAATGAAAATTTAGGTTGCGGCGAGATTTAAACCAGTGACCACTGTTTTTCCGGTAATAACTGAAGCGAAATAAAAATCTGGTCAGCGATCGGGTTTCATCGCTCATTTGGTAGAGCACTGGACTGGAAACCCGGTGGTCACTGGGCCCAAACTTTCATTTCATCTTTACTCATCCGGTGTTGAGACGAAAGTATATTGTTTGTAAACAACTTTCTATTCATTGATGCTACATGATTCTAGCTTGATATTCTTTCATATCACGTAAGGCCACCAATTAAACTGATATAGAAAAATATACACTAGAAATGGTATATATTTGATTTGCTTTTCGTAGATAATGAACGACACCGTGGTCAAGTTGTGCACTTGGAATACAACGGACCTGCTGGATTCCAGGCAGATAGTCAGGAACTGACCAACCTATTTCTGGTTGGTAAAGGTGTTACATACGATACAGGAGGGTCGGATCTCAAGGTTGGCGGAATTATGGCTACAATGCATCGAGATAAATGTGGCGCAGCTTCTGTTGCTGGATTTTTCAAAGTTTTAAATCTTCTTAAACCTACCAACTTAAAAGTAATTTTGGATTTTATATTTGGTTAGTTGGTCATATAAATTTGAGCGTATTCATTAGAATTAGTCATATTTTACATAGTAGATTGATTTAACAACTAACTTGAAAAGCTGGCATAGGACGTTATTTCACTTGGAACTGTTGCTCACGACTTTCAATTGATACTTTATGAATTCACACTCCATTTGACCTACCGGGGTTTAGATCATGCTTGTTCTTCACACATTATGTTTTACGGGGACTTTATAGTCAAAAATACTGGATTAATGTTCAGTGAGTAGTTTTCTGAGCTAGGGTTTTATTCAGTAAACGTTCCAGTGTCATGCTAGAACACATCAGTGCATTGAAGGAAGTGAAGTAATTGGTTTCCATGTATATTTCAAACGCACTACTTTAACTGGGTGTAACTTGATTGGTCGCTTTGTGAGTGCTTTGGATGTATGCTAAACCCGCATCTGGTTTTCTCAGATGTGTTTACGACTATGCGATTGGTTGATTTTTTTGTTTGTTTTTTGTACGTTGAGGTCACTTCGTTATGATAGGTTCCCGTTTTTGTTAGCGTGAATCGATGAAATGACCACTAAGTTATTTGCTGAAATATGATTTTTAGCTGTATGGCGACAGATTCATTTCCGCGGATTTTAAGTATATAGACCCAGGTACTCACTTTGTTCGCGTTTCTAAATGTATTGCCATCACTGTTCGGTAGGTGGTGGTGTTCTCATAGTGAAGGCTTTTAAGATCTAGGGATCATATTTTTCAGCTTTAAGCATAGTGGGAACCTGCGATGACTGAAAAACCGATATTCCTGCAGTTGAGAAGGGGTCGAATGTGCTGAAAGTTTATTTTAATCAGTCTGTATAATTACAGTGAAGCAGAAATACATATTCCTAGCGTTCTGTAGTCTCAAAGAAGTTGTTTTTTCTGAAAAATATCCAAAGGGTGAACCATAATTTATTCAACGTATTTAGCTAAAGAAGCAGTTTTCTGTCATGTGTACGGGTCTTAGTGGTAGGAACGAAAAGAAAATCTAGGTCATTGTGCTCTTCGAAGTAGTGATGTTTGGACTTCCAATAGTAAGCGGTAGACTATCAGCAAGGCATCCATGAAGTTTCTCAGTGCAGTCAAAAATATAGGAAGAAACTAACGGGATATTAGTGACTAGCTTCAAGAGGTGATTTCTGAAGTCCCAAATGAGAAGTTGTGACCGGAGGGGAAAGCCTGGTGGACATGAGGGCAAATACTCAACGATGACATTGGGTGGGTGATGGTCACGCTATCTCGCGAACTGACAGAAGTTGGAAATACGGACCATTTGATTCCGACCCAGTGGCTCAATGGTAGTGTGCTAGCCACGGAACCTGAAGGTTTAGGGTTCGATCCCTGGCGAAGTGGGGTCATGGGTATCCACTGAGTACCCCATACTAAGACGAAAGAGCTTTATAGTGCTCATGCGTTTCCAATTTCCCTCTAACTGATGCTAGCCCGTGATGAATATCAACTTGAAAGATATAATAGTCAGCACCCTCGCACACGCAAGCTAGTTTACCAGTCAGAGTTTATTCCACCCAGTTCAATTATCAGCTGTGATTTCTGTCATGATTATACTTGTAGGACCAAAGGTTAGTTTCTTTAAACTTTATTTACGTGAATATAAAATGGGTACGTGAATTGTGTACTTAGTTTAATTGTGAAAGGTTTTTAATAAAAATCTTAGATTTTCGAGGGTATGTGTTTGACATAGTTTTCTCTGACGTTTTGGTAGATGGTATCATTTATTGAGTTGGGCTTTTTCTTTTTGTAACCAATGATTTTCAGCTTGTCACTTATCATGAATTAAATTTCATCTTTTCTTCGATTTACAGGTACATGGGACTTTGGGTTTAGTTCGTAATAGTATTGGTGAAAACGCCTATGTGAGTGATGAAATAGTCACTTCACGTGCTGGAGTTCGAGTTCGTGTAAACAATACTGACGCTGAAGGTCGAATGGTTATGACTGATTTACTGTGTGAGGCTAAAGAGAAGGTGAGTGTAAAGTTTGTGCGTATAGTTTTTTGAGCATGTATATACAGTCAGTCTACGTTTGTATCTAACTGCTGATACTGTTCTATGCTATGATAAGTGCTGTCCCAAGAAGTAGGACTAAAAGGTATCATTACATAGTTTCAGGCTGGAAGAAGGCTCCTGGCGACCAGACTAAAACATGGCATCAATGCATGAAGTCTTTGACTGTTGGTTTGAGTCATGTAGGGCGATGCAGACTAGCCGGTTGAGGTCTGCGGGATAAGAAAAACCAGTGGTTAGAGAGTCTAGGTGATAATGGCCCAGAACCGATGTCAGTGGCGCAGATGCATACACACATTATCCTCATCTTAATCACTATACTTAATTTCATCATATTCTCATTCTTCCTTCTTCTCTTTTACTACTTTCTACTTCTGCTTCCTTTGATCGATTTTTATCTCTTTCTTTATCTTGATTTTATTACGTTGCTACTTGATGTGCTGACGTTAGGTGTGGCAACTTGGATTGTTACGCAGTAATGCCTAGTCCTATGTTGATCTTGATGATGATGTCATTTATTGGTTTATGCATTAAATATCTCCGCATACCTTTTGTTTCAGAAATTTTTTTTCCATGCTGTAGTAAAATCATTAAACAGAACTGGTAGCTTTTCGAAATAATTATCTCTAAATAGCTTCGTGACTAGGAACAATGATGTAAACAAGAACTGCAACATTGTGGCAGAGTACAGTTGTATATTAGTTTATTTGGTACAGCATGCAGGGATTCAGTATGATTTACTAGATAACGATTCAGAAATCAACGCTTCCCCACATCGAGCTGTAGTTGATTCTAAAACTATCACCCTCTCATCCTATGGTGTGGTCATGGGTCTGTACGTGCTTGGTGATAGGTGAGCTTTTCCCCTAATTACTCATGATATCAATGTTTGTTGCTCTATATTTTACCAAACGTTTATGCTCCAATAGTATAATTGAAGCCGATCGGCTACTCTGACGTATTTACCTGACCTCACAATCATTACATGATATTTGATAGATAGGGTTATTTTCATTAATTGGGTCTGCCGGGTCGTTCAGCCTATAGAGTGCTATATTATATACTCTAACAGATGCAAATCCTTAGTGAAAATATCTTGAGAATACCACTGTTTCTTACCTATTCAGTTTGAGCATTTATTGTTCGCATGATGTTTGTTCTCGCTTCGTGCTTTCAACCTGAATCGTCATCATCATCACCATACTGAAACTAAGCAATTTAAGTTCTCAGACGGGTATAACAATGCGGAACCCCCGACAGAAATGGATCGATTCAGTTTACAGCTCTTTACAGCAACGCGGAAATCAGAAATTAGCAAAAGTCAGAAGGTGTGGTGGGTTAAAGTCACGGTAGAACGCAGGTAGAACAATGGGCATATGTTTTATATTGACCTTGCTGACTAGGAAAGGAATCCAATACGCGCGTTTCGTCCTACTTAGGACTCGTCAGCTGTATGCACCAGCACCCCAGTGAGTGATGTTCCCACTGAGAATCGATCAGTACAACATCATGAATATCCGACAGTAATCGAGGCATCCGCATAGAAGCCATCTGGTATCAGAGGTCGAGTAATTCGGCTGTGTATAGCAACAGGAAATTACAAATATCATAAGAAACAGTGAGCACATATTTTGAAAAAGATAAAAATTAAGTACATCTACACTGTTGTGATTTATTTTCAGCCATGTCGTCAACCATTTATTATCAGTGTGTTACTAAACTTAGCTAAATATTTTATTCTTTCATGCATTTCTCAAACTAGCATTTGACCACTTCAGAAAACTGTTGCCGTTTACAGTTGTGACCACATAACATTCTCCCAGTATCGAACACTCAGAACATGCTACCTCAATTAAATTATTATTGAATATAAACTGTTATATCTTTTCCTCTTTTAAAAATCTTGATCTCCATCAGTTAAGTTCACTTTATCTCTTCCTAATGATGTTTGTTGGTTGATCAATCAATTGTACTACCATACACGCACTTGGTTGTGCGTGTAAAATTTCAGTCCTCTGTGAATAATAGTCAGTAGACGTGATGAGTCAGAAAGAGAAAAGGGCAGTGTGCTCAGTGCTTGTAACAACCCTGTTCATTACTGTTCATAATTTTCTTTTAATAGGCATTGAACGTATTCAATCCACGATTACTGACTATCGCTACCTTAACTGGTCATGTTGGATTAAGCTATGGACAGGGATATACGGTAGTTTTTATTATTTTATTTTGTGAACTATTTTCGATGAGTTTTATTTGTATGAGACTAAGATTGATGTAGTGATGCTTTTTCATTCTGCCTATCTGCCATAATTCAACGTTTCGTTTAGCTACTTCAGTCGACTGTCTGTATGAGTTAGGTTAATGCCGTTTAACTTTACCTGGGCATCGGAAGACATATTCCGTTGAAGTATGCAAAGTATCCTATTCAGTGTTTTACTCACTGAGTTATTTATTATGAGCCACGCTTTTTGTTTGAAAGTTTCTGATACTCTACAGCTGAATAGACGGAAGTCGTGTTTTACAGAACGAGCTACTACACATTATGCCTGATACTTACTATGCAGTCAGATATTATCCTGACACCTTAAGTTAACGAAAGCTATTTGAACCTTTCCTATTCGGTCGACTACCGAAAATTCAGGGTTGATTAAACTCTCTAGTTTAGTAAATTGTTCATCATGTTCTACAACTTCACTACACAATGTCAGGTAAGATATTCACACAGAATGATCTCGAAGCAACTAATGGTATTTGGGAGTGGTGACATTCTCAAATTCCTGTTCAAGTTGTCCATAAGACCACGACTTATCAACACCTTCACACTATAGGACTATTTTATCTGCATACTACATGTCGACTAAGCAGTCTCCAACCTACAGATAAGTCCTTATAATGTCAAGCAACCATTAAGTTATATTTGACAAAGTTGAATGAGAATCTAGTGACTGAACGTTGTTTCGAATTCTGAAACCTGTATGCACCATTTTTTGGAATGAGTTTTCCAATGGCCTACTTGAATCTTCCATATTCACCAACAGGATGATGAGCGCCGGACATTCATCTACATACTGTCACTCATGTGGAAGTAGCCCAGACACCTAGAAGCAATCGACAGGTTTTCCGCTGCATCAACTATGAGCATACAGCTGTGTGAAGGTAATTGTAGAGGATGAGTGGATTCATTTTGTCGTAGGTCTTGTCAGAGCATTTGGTTGGATTGCCTGCTGAACATTGTTAATTAAACCCTAGAATTAATCAGGAAATGCAGAAGACTGAGTAATTTATTATTTACGAGGCGAAAGACTCTCTACAACCTTGTGTATATTCCTGTGGTGGGCAGTGAACTCCACCTACTGTGTGACGATTAGTGATACCGACTGGTTGACCGAATCTCGGTAGGTGGAGCTTAGATTGAACCAGAGATCCGCTTATTTAAAGTCAACTGTCCAAACCAATGAGCTAAAACTCCACAATTTGTCATGTATTATCATGGAATGATTGACATCAATGTTGCGGCAGTATCTTTGGGTGTGTCGTGACTTTTTAGATGTGTTCCAGTGGATCACACGACTCAGTGACTAGAGACGTTATATCTGGCTGAAAATTAAAGATAGTTCTGTAGTTATTTTATCAGTGTTACTTCTTATATGAATTTTTTGAGAATAAACTGTGGGCAATAATTTGTATGTAATGTTGCTTCTCCCACCAATTATTTATACAATGATTCTGCATAACGTGTACGTGTATGTTTTTCGTCTACAGTTTCGAAATTAAACACATAAACAAACTGGAGGGGTTGCTATGTGATCACTAGTATCTTCTTTCATGAGTGATATGTTTGTTAATTGGGAATGTGAAGCCCTCGAGATATTTAGTCCTGTTTCAAAGATATATTTGGTAGCACTTTTACACTACTAAAGTTCGTCGCATATTAGTAGGTTCTTTTCACGCACAAATTCAATATTGACTGCAATCTAATTTGCCTCTGAATTCGAGGGTTTATTAGGGTGTGTTTGAGTGTTGGATTGCAAAGTAGATGCATAAGAAGATTATGGTTTAGGGACCAGTGTTTATGGGAACCCTTCTCATGGAAATCACCGCTTTAACTTCAAACCATCCTACCCTATGTTTAGGTAACAGGACAGAAAAGCCACGAGAAGGCTTCAGACGCACTTAGAATACATCGTATCTTAATAGTTACCCACTTAAGTCTCTCAATATATTCCTAAGAAATCATAGAAGGGAATAAAAAGTGGTAGCGTGAATAATATTATAAATATTGATAATAACTTGATAACAGTACTGCTTCTGATGATAGTAACGGTGCTGATGGTATTGGCAGGGTGGAGAGAAAATTTAACGCATCTTGAGATGATAGAGAATATTTGTAGTTCACTAGGATGATTTTCATGGCATATTTTCTGGGCTGGGTACTTTGGTGGTGAAGCTGTCACTGTCATCTTAGACAATATCATCCTCGCAAACTTCAGCAGGAAAGAAGGCACCTAGAAAGCATTACTAAGAAATTTCGATAAGGCTGAGACTAAAGTGGCGTTTTAATGTACAAACTGAAGTTTTGTATAGGTGAGAGGGTGACAGTCCTTAAAACTAACCTAGTGGAGTTGAGGGAGAGATTCATGACCGACTGTTTATTGAATTAAAACCAAACACATGCGATAGATATGATTCTGTACTTCTTCCAGGTATATGGAATTTTCTACTACCCTCATCATAAAGAAGCAGAGGTTAGTAGAACTATGTTAACCATATCTAAAATTGGTGGGATTATCTTACAGGAATATGGACAATAAATTGTCCGAAAAGTTATGCAGTAAATAATACAGTTTCACTTTGTGCCACCTATAATATACAGACTGAAAGAAAGTAGATTCATATTACTCTACATAGATGTTTTAAGTTGTCATGCTGCTTACTAGTTCATTCCATCGATTGGCAGATTGTTTGTTTTGACTTGAAATTATCTGAATGTATTTTTCAAATCTGTTTTATCCAGCCTCGTATAGAATACTTTATTTTCATTTTTTCTAATTATAATTTGTGTCATTATAGGGTATTGTCTGTAACGGTCCAGCTAGAGAGATTAAAGAAGACTATGACTATCAATTTTCGGGTTCATTACTAGGCGAAATGCATGAAGTGAGTTAGCATAACTGCGAATCAGCTCATTTTGATCGCATTTTTTCTTTATAACAAAATATATTTCTGGTTGATGTGCAATGCAATATTCCATGCAAAAACATTCCCTCAGGTGTTTGACTGTAAAGTCTTCAACGAAGTGGTATGCTTACTGGGTTTACTCCTTTCAGTGAGACGTCTCGATCGACGGAGTCGGATGCCGCCTTCAGGTCGATAAATTCGAATAGTGTCTGTCGCCGGTGTGTCTGTGTTCCGGAACTTGGTAGAAGATGTACATCTAGTCGATATAGTCACTATTAAGTCTGTAACCTTGTCTGGTTGTCTTCATTTTTCAGGTTCTTCTGAGTCCCTTGCGCAGAAATCTGAATGTTTGGTGTGCATTTTGCACCTGTCAAATGTAAGATAATGCTTCAAGATTGTTCTGTAGCATCTTTTAATTTAATAATCAGGAGGTGAAATGGTAGAATGCATTGCCTTCTTCCCTTACTTGGGGAGTTGGATCATTTTGAATGGGTTTTTTGGTGCTGATGAAATCTCAGTTTTCATACAAAAATTTATTTGCAAACTCACGTAAACTCTGACGCCAGCGAAACACCCTACTACATATTGAAGGAGCCGCATACTTTTCTGCTGTTCTGTGGTGGTCGTTGAAAGTAGAGTAAGTAAAGTGGTTAGAGGTTTGACCACAGGTCTTTTTTTAGCATTCTTCGTATATGGTGCCATTAAAATCTGCGCGATGTCGAACTTAGGCGGATGGTACTAGACATAAATTGCAAGCGAGTAGAGGAAGTTGTCAACCTTATTCAACTGCGTTGGTTTCAACATGTGTTCTGTTCGTTGAGTCACCACTTGCGTGCAGCTTTTAACTGGAGTTAGATTGGTTTCGAAGAAGTCCCAGAGTTGCCATACTGAAACAAAGGATCAATTCAATAAAGTTTTAAAAAACCAAAAGCAATAATAGCAACAAGGTGGAACGGATCAACTTTTATTTCGGTGGTACCTTGTGTCAACTGCCTACAACCTAGAATATCAAAACATATAGTTTTACCGAGAACTTAACGTAGTTTAATTCATTTTTATTTTGACTATCTGAGATAGCGTGGTCTGCCAGACTAATATTGATACTGGGTAATGACTGAAAATTTGGACCGTGGCCTCGTAGCTCAGTGGTAGAGCAGTAGGCCGGAAACCCAATGACCACTGGTTTGAATCCAGCCGTAGTCCGAATTTTCACTTCACTTTCAATCATCAACCAGTATCAATACTAGTCTGATAGACCGCGGCTATCTCAGATAGTCAAAATGAAAATGAATTAAAGTATGTTAAATTCTCGGTAAAATTATATGTTTTGATATTCTAGGTTGTAGGCAGTTGACACAAGATACCAACGAAATAAAGTTGATCCGTTCCACCTTGCTGCCAGTATTGCTTTTGTTCTTTTCAAATTTATGAAGGCTAATTCGTGTATGAGAAGTCCCCAGTGTCTAACTGTTAGCGCAAGCCACATCAGCTAATGTAGACTGCTTCTCTGGGATCCTCGAGATATGAAGAATCTGTGATTGAAGATTCTTGGTGACATAGCTTACCGTGCTGCAGTATATATTCGCTACTTGACATCAAAAAAGGTTTGAACACTTTAAAATTCTTTCTTTGCCCATGCACTTATGTCGACTCTTATTTCATTACTTTTCAATCCAGTCGTTTTTTTGCACTCTGATTTCAAGTGGGCACATTTGTGTGAGATTCTTCTTTGGTCTGTCTGTAATTTCTGTTTACGTATCTTTTCACTGTAATTGAAGTGAGTGAAAGATGAGTTTTTTTGAAAGTTGTCTAGTCTCCTATTGGAAACTCACCGATCAGATGTGGTGGTTATATCAATTTCAGTTGCCCAGATGTGCTGGCGAACTAGCCAGAATAGCATCCTGGTGATACTTTTGGAATCTCAGCTTACCAAGCAAATAATTGTGATCATCTACTATAGCTGTGAGCAGCACATACTTCAGACATGAGATACAACGTCAGACGAGGCATCCGATGATGTCAACTCAACAAATTGACCATACTGCCATCAATTATGGTTGGAGAGGGTTGTCCGAAGATTTCTGCTCTTTCTTTACCACATTGGGATAGTGATCACATGGTGGTTTCAGCGAGCATAGGTCTGCACCTCACTGGATACAGAAAACTTGCAACTGAATGACTATCGCAGGTGCATTGCAATGATGAGAATACCAATGTTGCTTTGAAGAGAAACTGTCTAGATGATTGTCGAAGCAGGACAACACCACTCATCTTTAGGAGCCTGCTTGTATCTTGAGTCTGCTATTCAAAGTGTTAAAGATCGTAACTGTGGGTCAGCAAGTGGTTGAAAGTAGCTGGTGGAACTGAGCAGATTCTTTTGGATTCATGAATACACGTGAATGCATTTCTCCATATTACCACACAATGGAAGACGAAGCCAACTCAAATGTAGACTAAGGTCTATCTAATGACCAGAAGTGGCAGGACGAGGTGGTGAGTCGTTTCGGTTAGGACCAAGGAGATGAAGGAGGCAGTGATGATAAATAAAATAGAACACGTATTTAGGTTTGTGAAAAAAAACTGGTGTAAACGTCGCAAGCGGTACAAAACATGCGTTTTGGTGATAATTTTGCTCCTTGTTGCAACCATTCAACCTCTTACCCTTACATTGCAGGTTCGAACTCTTTGTTAGACATAGCACTATAGGTGGTACTCGTTGCTCAAAATATGTACATGGTTCGTCTGGTATTTTTCATATCTACGTCTATATTGTGTCAATGGCCGTTCCCCATGAAATATGCAAGCCTATTCTTTCAAGTTTTGCATTTTCATATCCTTATAGAATGCCTAATTGATATGCCTTTTGCAAATTACAATATTTTGTTATTTGTTTTGTCGGTAATCTCAAGTGATATAGTCCAGATTTTCAATTTAATGATAACGTGTTGAATGAGATATATTGGTCGATGATATACATAAATATTTTGTAGTGGGACGATATCTGTATTGAATTGCAAAGGTAGTTACCATACTTTTTATGCTTGTATTGGCTGATTTCCGAGATTGTATCTGTTAAAATCTTAGCTAACTGAACTCTTTTTTAATGACTAATCTTCTGATTAACTTCTTTCAAGGTTTTACAGTCTTCAGTGAATATGATTATATCCGCATAAAGTAGCTATGAAACTTATTGGATATTCTTCATGTTTACGTATTTGATCATCATCAGATTGGGTGATTCTGTCAGTACTCCTTGAATTAATTAGCTTACATTAATTTTCATGTGACTTTACATTTCTTAACTTGCTATGTGGTGTAAAATAAACTTTTCACTATTTTGAATTCTCACGGTGTATCAAACCTGATCATCATACACCGATTATTATCATTCATTATCGACCCCCTTTTCTAGATATCGACTCTTCGACGTGAAGATTTTGAGGTACATAAAGCTGATGAAGAATACGCGGACCTACGGAATTCTGCTCGTTTAAATGCTGGGAAACGTTCTAGAGGACACCAGTCCCCTGTTGCATTTATGATTGTAGCGTCAGGCTTGGATTCTGTAAGTTCAATTTTATTCTAGGGTAGTAGAACGTCTAGTTGCCGTGTATATAAAATATAAACTTTCTGACCTTTACTTTTAAGTTGCAGCGTATTCACCTTTTATCCTAGTTACTAAGTCAGTTGGGACTTCTTACAGGACTTCAGTAATCCTTGAACTGATCGCTACTGATTCCCGAATGCTTTCTCTGCCTACAATGTAACTATAGTATTTTGCCGACTACGTGTAATGTATATTTCCTTGCGCTCCGTTTGGATTTTGTAGTTACATCTCTGAAAATTTCTCACATGAAGCGTTACTTTCCATACAGTTGAAAGCCCTAGGAAAAATTATTTTTAGCGGGATTTGGTTTTGGTTTTGTCCGAAAACCTACCACTAATGGATAGTGTTATGTAGTCCTTAACTCCCTCGCCACCCTTTTTACAAGTAAATCACTTATAAAGGTGTTGGCATATTTATCTTTCTTGTCGTTTCACCTTGGGTGCTACAACGGTGGTCTAAGGTTTTGTATCTCAACCGTTTTATAACCGTTTTTCCAAGGTAGGTAAGTCGCAAAAAGTTACCGATTACCTTGGTTTATTGTAAGTTGAAACAGCCAACTGTCAACTTTGACCATGCAAATTTGTGTTGTTTTCAGCTTCGAAGTATCACCTGAAAACAAGAGGTGAGTGCTAAAGCAACTGTAATGAAATATTCTTAATCGGTTCTCTCATTATTTAGTTCGCGTGGATGACTGACTAACTTCCAGTTTACCTAAACGCACAGAGAAAGAGAGAGAGATGTAGAGCCTTGCGTTGGTTCAAGTTACCTCACTACGTAACAACATGGGAAGAGTAAGGTACACAAAAGTGCGTAGACGAAGTCGAAATCCCTAACAGGTGGCTGTGTCGATCCTTTCATCTACATCTTTGATGATTGCCTACTACTGACACTCAAGTTGTATCTCTCTTCGAAATCCAACCACACGAATCTTAGATCACAAAGCTAATAATTACCTAATAAAGTGCACGAATTATTGTAATGAATAGACTTTCATTTCTCGTGAACAAAAGATATCACCTAGATAATATTTATCAGATAGCCAAGTTGTCAATCAATGGGTGTCAGTATGTGACCGATGAGTTTTGCCAACGAGTGCACGGCTATGTTTATATCTCGTTTGTCAATTAGATTTTGACGAAAGAAGCTATCACTTTGATCTAAGAAGAGTAAAGAAGATTACAGCAACAACGGATGTTAGCTGGACTGAGCAACTTAGACTACAGTCCCCTCATCGTCCGACTAATCGAAAGTAGCCCCAATATCAAGAAACATGACGATTGTTGGTCTTCAACACGTGTGATGATGTTCGACCACTTGATAAATTGGGCATGTTATGCATCCAAGAGTTGCACGAAATATGATCTACTCCTGAATAAGTTTTCTATGCATTGTGAAAAGTCTGCAACGTATGCTGGTACTCAGTTTTTTCAATGCAACTAGTAGCAACCCTGATGAATTATCACTCGCGTCAGATGGGCGTTTTTTAAAGATGAAAATGATAATAGTCTCCTTCCAGAAGGATGAAGTACTCAGTTTGCCATATCGTACCGAACAGTCTAGTCATTTCCATCTCATACTTTCTGACCATCAGGTTTCATTGTCCTTAAGTGAGCACTGTGTGATTTACTGCATAAGAGACTTACGCTTACCATTATACTCTCTCTTCATGGAATTGAGCTGACGAGTGTCAAGATAAGACGTTTTTCTAACTGAAAAGCATCTTTATTTGCCTTTTTATGGCAACCTTTTAGGTGTAATCAACTCTCTAATCTATTCTCTCCACAGAATCAACAGCTAATCTTGAATCTGTCTAGGTTTTTGCATTTTTTTTCAGTGCTGTCTTCAGTTAACTTGAATCGACCTTTTTAGGGTAACGATTTTGATGACCAGCAAAGAGTAAGCAGCCGTTAAAGTGTGACTCCACACCACAACTTCAGAAGGAGTGGCAATTATTAATACACCCTTACGACCGGCATCTAGTTGCAATATGAATCTATTCGAACCCAGGTTTGAATCCCAAGAGTAAGATACCAGGTAGCACAACGGTATTGACCACTCCAGAAGTTGGTACGGTTTGTGATAAGTGCATAGTTGTAACAGGCAGTCCTAGCACTACGATACTTGTTAAGTGCACCTCATCCTCCACCGTATCTGGGCTACATTCCGTCGCAGCATAAGCAAAAGTGAAGAAGGGTCTTCATTCGTCGTACCTGTTACTTCTTATACTTACTGAAACTTTTATTCTGATAACAAGTAGTTGACTATTAGGATCAAAGGATCTAGGCGCTGTATTTAGTGTGACAATAAAGTAAACCATTTTCTGTAAAAAGGATATGGGTGAACTCAGCAGTGCGCACCCACGACCCCGTCAGGGATCGGACCCAGGACCTTCAGGTTCTGTGACCAGCGCGTTACCGTTGGACCACTGGTCAGAATCTAGTGGTCCATATGTCCTACTTCTGTCAGTTCACGATAAACCGCGATCTACATTCAATGTCGTCGTTAAGTAACTGTCCTCATGTTCAACTTGGTTAGTCCAACTGGTCATGACTTCTCATTGGAACTTCGGGAATTACCTCTCGAATCTAGTCACCAATGAGCGCTAGGTTAATTCTATATGGAGGTTTGTAGAGGTTTACTAATTGATTTTCGGTTATCATTCATTCATTTCATTTAAGGTTGGTTAAAACACAGTATTTCTGTATACGATTCAACGAACATGCGATGTATTTTACGAACCTATTTTTGTGTTCATTGTAGATGAATATTAATCCTCAAAATATTTTTTGCATGGTAATAATTATCATTTCTTTATAACTTAAGCATTCAAAAAATAGTGAGAAACCTTTGGCATATACACATTTGGATATTGCTTCAAGTCATGGTCCTTGCCCGGGTATTCCAACCGGTGTCCCTATACTAACGTTAGCATCACGTTACATTATCCCGAAAATGTTTGACTGGCCTAACAAGAATTTCTGAGTACATGAATTAAGGTTCCTCGCAAAGTTGATCTTAAACAGTAATTGTTTTGTAAAATGTTTGAAAATTCTAGTGTCATAATTGACTATTTTTGCGTTCGTATAATTTACGGTGAATATAATTTGTTGTTTCAATAGACTTTCGTTTATTGTTTTGTGAGCTCTATTATCATCTGACTTTATCACTGTAATCGTTGTGTTGTAACTTAATTTGAATTTAATTGCCGTGTTTTTCTTTGAAAAAGTTAAATTGCAGTTGTTCTTCTTTTTGTCTGGGCAATTATGTCATACTACTTGTAAGTAGCACAAAAGATGAGGGTTTAATTATATGTCACGTAGTGACGTCTAGTGATTGGACATTCGATTATTTGAAAACATTTCCCCCCATTTTATTGGTGGAAATTTATCTATTTGCTCGCTGAGATGCTTTTAGTTTTTATGCAAAATGAATAAGCTTTGAGTATGTTGCTCTTTCTTTCATGCTCTGTGAAGTTTTACATACCGTATCTATGTTATGTGCTGTGCCATCCCTAATTGCAAAAATATGTTAATTCATTGGTATGTTAATATTAAATATTTTTACTGAGTAGTTTTTGAGTCAGTCAACTGCATTAGCTTTCAGGAAGCACCATGAAATTCTGTTACTAGGTGAATACGAATAAGAGAGATGTACCTGGCGATTGGAAGGAAGGGCTACCTTGTAAAACTCTCGAAGAAGGGCGACCTAAGTCTTTGCAAGAACTGGCGCGACATCATAAACAACTCCTGTCCACCCCAACCAAAATATTGAGCCGAATCATCCTGGGCTGACTAAAGGATGCGCTGGATTCAAAACTATGACCGGAATAGGCTGGCTTCAGGAAGTACAAATCATGTGCGTACCAAATTGCAACGCAACGCTTCGCATCATCATAGAACAGAGTATAGAATGGCAGTCGACTCTCTACCTCAACTTCGCCTTTGAGAAAGCCTTCAACAGAGTCGACCGAGAAGTAATTTGACAGGCAGCTGCTTCAACACTACGGAGTGCCACGAATCAACCTCATTCAACAGCTATATGAAAATGCCACATACCAAGTAATTCACAATGGGAGGCTCAGTGGTGCTTTTGAAGTGAAGACGAGAGTAAAACAAGGCTGTCTACTGCCACCCATGATATTCCTGATTGTAGTGGACTGGATCATGATACGCTGGCTGGACCGATGAAAAGATCCTGGAAGATTTGGATTTCGCCGCCGGTGATGATTTATGTCTAATGTCACAAACTCGTGAACTAACAAGTTGACAGAAGAGGTAGAGAAGGAAGACAGGACTTCAAGTGATGAAGATACTCAACCAACGCCACCACCACCAACAAGCTCCAATCATGACCAACGGGAGAAACTTGAAAGAAGTAGCCTCTTTCACCTATCTAGGCAGCATCGTTTCAACTACGGCCGGTGATGGCACAGACGAGAACGTCAAAGTCAGGATCGGGAAAGCAAGATAGGCGTTCATTAGCCTGAAACCAATGTGGAGATCTTCCGCACTCAGCACAGAGCGTGGACAAGATCCGGATTTTCAACACTAAGCCAATCAAGTCAGTGCTTCTATGTGGTGGTTCAGAGACTTGGCGCGTTACGAAAGGGATTTCCAACAAACTATAGATATTTGTCAACAACTGCTTACGCTCGTTACTGAAGATTAGATGGTCAGAAAGAATAAGCAACACGGAACGAACCAACCAAGAACGTATCCCTCCACAACTATGCAGTAGGAATTGGAGATAGATTGGGCATGCACTGAGAAGGCCGACTGGGGACATCACATGCCAGGCCGTAGAGTGGAACCCCGATGGGAAGCGACGAGTTGGGCGTCCGAGGATGACATAGAGGAGATGATGTGAGGAAGAAATGAGAGCTTATGGACAGTCGTGGAGCCAGGTTGAAAAGTTTGCAGAGAATGAAGTGAAATGGTGATGTGCTACTGAAGCCATATGTTCCACTAGGAACCCAAGGGACAAATAAAATAATAATATGAAACAGTTTTATATCGAATAACTTCATTTAGTCTTTCAGGTAGACAAAATCGGCGTATAACTTTACATAGAAGTACATCGGTTCAAGCTGCCATATTCCACAGCAGCATGCAGAAAACGAGTTGGTGTAGAAAGTGGTCTCAAAGTGTATGGTAGTTTATAAACGTTGATTCTTGTGCGTAAACTTTTCATTAAAAAAATTACTTAATATTACATTGATCTTTTCCAGAATGCACAGACTTTTCATTGAAATATTGATTCCTAGTATCTCTAAGATCCCAGCGAAGTAGTCCACACCTCACAACGGCTCGGCCCAACAGTCAGAGACTTCATAAAATGGTGCCACTTCTTGGTCTGATCGCCCATAGTCTTTGAATCCATTTCTACTTCGCTTAACATTGCGTGTCGAGGCAGGCAGTTGGTCTGCATACCCTATGTATGTCTCAGCTGCTTTAGTCTAAGAAGGTTCAATACCTTATCAACTAAGTCTCCTGTCTTTGCCTAACCAGGATGGTGCTCACCTGGTGATTTCACCAAATGTGAACAATGCTGCAAGGATTTGTGATTGAAAACGTGGTCTTTTCACATTTACTCTCAGCAATCATTTCTCACAGTCGTCAAACAGGACAAAATGGACTTCAGAGCATTTAAACCGTTTTTTCCTAGCTAGTTGGATATCTTATCGGTGTCAGAAATGACATTTGTTTTCAGATGTCAAACGGATCTTTTGTTTCCGAGCTGAGATTTCGTCAACAACCAGGCCATTCGGGCTGATATAACTCCAGAAGTTAGTGAATTAGTTAACACATTCAATCACTTCGCTTTTTATCCTTGAACCAGGAGTTAGTGTAGATCATCTTATATTTGACAGGTGCGTAGCTCGCCCCGTACATACTCAAATTTTTACACAAGGTGTCAAGGGAAACAATCTGGACTGAATTTATCTTGAGGTCCGAGGAACTTTGCCCTTTATTGCATGGCATATATTTAATAGGAGGTCATGAAGTTCTTAGGTGTTAAGCTATTCAAGACCCAACGGAATGAGTTCAGCATCGGCAGCGTAAAAAACTTCAAATGTAATATCTCCAAGTGAGATACAACATTGCACTTGACGTGTGAGTTGGGGCCTACCGCTGTATGCACTAATAGCTGCTTGTGTCATTATTAAGATTTTCGACCGACCGAGGCTACACAATACTTCACAGAAGATCGCTGTAGTGTTAGGGGCTATAACGTTTTAGGCATATAGGCTGATCATTTACGTTGAGCGCTACATATTTCTGTGTTATTGATTTATAACCTAACTGTGTTGCTGAGTGTTCTTGTCGTAGGTCGATGTTGATACGTGTTAGTCGTAATTGGTTGGCGGTGAAGGCCATGCTTGTGAACCACCAACTTACAGCGATGGCACATAAGCTTGAAAGGACGAGATTTCTAGTAATGTCAGTTTCCACAGTGCCGACATGCTGATGGGGGTTCCTGCTAAATTTTATTGTAGGGTGGCATGATGGATTATGAAACGTAGTACAAGTGGCTGCTGGATTTTTACTTGTATAAACTTCATTCTAGCAACCAGTATGTATCAGCTTGACATCTCGTTGCATGTTCGTAGGTCGTTTATATCCACCAATGTCTTTCAATATAATTCAAAGTTCTTGTCCAAGTTCGTTCAATAAGTGAATGCGTATTTTGGCAACTGGAGGACGCAGATGAATATGAGTTCTAGTAATTTTTTAAAAATCTGTTATGGATTTCAGCCTGCTTTCGCGTGCTTTGTTACAATCCCAAGTTGAGTATAGATGTTATCATCTATCAACACTAGTTTCATGGAGTCTTAGCGTACATTGAGGGAGTGATGTTCTCCGCACTGTCGTCTTACATGCCTTCCGTGGAAGGACTGGGTTACAGTTATAGTCTAATTCATCTGGATCGCGTTTTTGAAGAAAGTCTGACTTCCCATGCATCCTCTTAGCAAAGTCAACTCTAAAAAGATCTTCGGAACCATGTATCATGAGCGACTAAACAAACTCCAGAATATTGCGACCAATCGTACCATCAGCAGGAAACGAACTAGAGGAAGATGAAGTGAAAAGTAGATCTGCAAGGAATTCCATTACCTTCGGTTGCTGCTCCACCAACTTTTCCAGTTGCTGTACGTTCATTTTCAACACCTCTGCCAACTGTTATTTTTCTGATCGGTTAATATACACGAATCCAACTAGCAGTTAACTCGCAAGCGCTATACTGCTGACTCCAATGCCCCAGACGACAGTTGGCGAAAAAAGACTGGTCTGAATGAGGACCTTTATTACCTCCGAAAAGACTGGTAATCATATGAGATATGTGTTTATGTATACATGAAATGTAACGTCGCCGGGAATCAGAAGTACTAAACATCAACCAATCAGCAAATGTCATAGGAAAATAGGGAAGTCAGTGAACTACTGGCGTAAAAAGTCACAAGAACTAAAATTTTGAGATGTAAAATTAAATGCAAAATTGCAGGCTCCCAACAGCAAACTGCCTAGTATTCGCGAATCTGTTGTCATTGACTTCCAGCTAAGCGTGAAGTAACAGTGGCCGAAGGTTCTTGGACACTACAAGTCAGAAAAATTCCCTTATGAGTGGCGCAAGAACACTTCTCTTTTCCTGCAAACGGAAATGGTGAGTGAAGTAGACCAGTATGACGGGAACACCTCTGATTCCCATGAACTATCTAGTACCTCCTTCCTGGAAAACCTCCGGTGGCGAACCGTCCTGTCCTACTGCTGTGCATCTTTTAAAGTTTGTAATGTCCTCAACTTCGACGATATTTGGAGGACCGATACTTACATCCCATTCAGGTTCGGGCTGCATGTTAGGCAACTGAAGCGTTGTGGGGAAGTTTGACTTTCGTCATAGTGTTCCGCTTAACGTACCAGTCATCTCCTGAGAGGTTTCATCCTTCTCAGCGTCGGTCTCACTAACCATCGTTTTCTTCTTGTCAATATTCTGGCTATCGCACCAGAATTTCATGGAAGCGGACCGTGATAACGATTCGATAAATGCTAAGTCATCTTACTGAACATGTCCTTGATGTTCTCTTCTTCCAATCAAGCATAAACTTAGTTCATTACTTCCATTTTTTGGCCACCAGTAAGGCACAGACTCAGGTTCATGTGAACGTGTGATCAGAGTCCAAGCAGGTATTCCACGAGGCCACAATCCGCGACCGATCCTCACCAACGATGGCTTATGACAGTGTTATCCACCATTGGTTTAGTGTCCAGAAGCATCAAAAGAAGCAATGCCTCTGCTTACGCTCAAAGTTAATGCTGATTAGAAACAAGTGACTGTTATGGCAATGAAAAAGTGATGATCACCGTTTCATTTCGTTTGTATGAATACCGTAGTCCTTCAAGATGCCTTTCCGATTACTTAAGCTTCCCCAGTCGTGCAATGTACTCACTGGCTATCGCGACTATATCTGAACGTTTTGATTTCTGTAGAAGAATTAATAGCTTTTAGTAACATTCATCCTCTGCATCAAAAATTACGAATAGGCAACGGTTGGTCGAACGATCTTTCTTAGC